CTGCTGCTGCTGCTGCTGCTGCTGGGGGTGTTTCTGCTGCTGCGCGCTTCTCCCCAACTGATCCCATTGCCTTTTCTGCTGCGCTGCAGCAACTTCACTCGTTGCTGCTGCAGCTTTTGGTTCCCAGCGAGGCCCCCAGACTCAATGAAGGAGCCTTTTGCAAGTAAGGCCAGCAGCAGAGCAGCAGCAGCAGAGCAGCAGCAGCAAAGCAGCAGCAGCAAAGCAGTAGCAGCTGCCTTGCACCGTATAATATGTCAAACACGAACAAGTTAAGGGCACCTGCAAGCTCTCTATATGTTATAAACCATATTTTATATTTTCTGCATCTAAATAGAATTATCATTTGTTCATTTTGTTCAAACTCTTTTAATTTCACCACTATACTTTTGCTGCAAAAATTTACGCGCAACGAAACAAACACAAGCGAATCCCCCTCTATGCTGCTGCTGCCGCTGCTGCTGCTGCTGCTGCTGCTGCTGCGTTCAGCTGCCCCTACCACGTGCCCGCTGTGCAGGAGAGCCGGCGGCAGTCTCACGGCGAGCGGCAGCTGTGGGGCCCCTCCCATTTTTGTTTATTTATTTTATTTCGAGTTTTTCATTTTTGCTGCCGCCTGCGCAGCAGCAGCGTGCTGTACTCAGCCTTCCTGCTGCTGGTGTGCACCTGCAGCAGCAGCAGCAGAAGCAGCAGCAGCAGCGGCGTAGGCAGCAGCAGCCCCGCAGCAGCAGCAGCAGCAGCAGCAGAACAAGACCCGCTGCTGCACTTCCTGGCTTCTCTTTGGAAGCTCTGTGACGAAGCAGATTTCATTCTTAAAACTCTAAACCCTTTGGAGTCTCGTCACTGGCAAGCAGCAGTACTTAAGGACCCAAACGCTGACCCTTCCCCCCTGGGGGGCCCCCCAGGGGGCCCCCCGGGGGGCTTTCCATTCGACGCAGCAGAGGGGCCCCCCGGGGGCCCCCCAGCAGCAGAAACGTACCCACTTGACCCTCCAGACGAGCCCACTCCAATAGCTGGCATGGCTTTCCCCAATGGCTGCGGCCTGCCGTACGTCTGGGGGCCCCCTGGGGGCCCCCAGGGGGGCCCCCCCGGGGGGCCCCAGGGGGGGCCCCCCGGGGGTCCCCCCAAAGGGGGCTCGCCTGCTTGTTTGCTCCCAAGGGGCAGCCGGAAGAGCAGCTCTTCTCTGCGTCGGCTTTTAAGTGTTAATTCTTTGTCTCGAGCAAATTCAAGAGGAGGGAGAGATAGGAGAGACTTGCCTTGGGGTGCATGCGCTGCTGCTGCAGCAGGACAAACAGCAGCAGCAGCAGCAGCAGCGGGCTGCCACTCCTGCTTGCTGCTGGCCATCTCCAGGTGCCAGTGCGTCGCCTACGTTAGGGGGGTCCTCGCGGGGCTGCTGCCTGTGCTGCTGTGGTCTTACTTGACCCGCATTTTGCTGCCGCTGCAGCAGCAGCCGCTGCTGCACCTGCTGCTTCCCGTCCTGGAGCTTGCTGCTAGCGACAGCAGCGCCGCCACAGACAGCCAGCAACCAGCTGCAGCAGCAGCAGCAACAGCAGACGCAGCAGCAGCGCAAGCAAAGGATGGGCCCTGCCCTGCTTCCTTTTACCCTTCGCTGCGGCAGCGGCTGCTGCTGCAGCAAGGGGGGCCCCACTACAGCTGCTGCGAGTCTCTGGGGCTCGAGGGTTTGCTGCTGCTGCTGGCGGGCAGCAGCACCCGGGCCCCCATGCGCCGCAGCAGAGAGGGGTGGAATTCCTGCAGCTCTGCTGCTGCTGCTGCTGCTGCTGCTGCACTACCCGACACCCTCAGACTTGTGGAGCCCCGGGGAAGCCAATCCGAGGGCAATTTGCTGCTGCAGTTCTTGTCAGCTTTTGCTGGGGGCAGCAGCTGCAGCAAGTTGCTGCAGAAGCAGCAGCAGCGCAGCCGCCGGGCGCAGCAGCTGTCCAGAAATGGGACGACCCACAACCGACGCACGCGTCTCCTGCAGCAGCAGCAGCAGCTGCTGCTGCTGCTCCTCCAGCAACTCCTGCTGCAGCAGCAGGCTGCTGGGCGCAGTGCGCTCTGTGGGCGCAGCAGCAGCTGCTCCTGTGCCCCGACAGCCACATGGCTCTAATTGCTGCTGCATTTGCTGAGGCTGTGGCGAACCCTCTCGGTTTTGCTGCTGTGTCTCTCGAGGCGCTGGTGCCGCAGCCCGTCGTGCAGCCAGAGCTGCAAGAGCAGCAGCAGCAGCAGCAGCAAAAGCAGCAAGGCGGGCAGGCTCTCGAGATCGATGCCCTGGCTGCCCGGCTCGTGGACTCAGCGCTGATGCAGGACCCGTGGCACTGCAGCAGCAGCAGCAGCAGCAGCAAGAACAGCAGCAGCAGCGAGAAGCAGCAGAGCGAGATGGAGGGTAAAGCTCAAGAGGGCCCCCAGCTCCCCTCGCTTTCTGCCCCAGGAGGAGCAGCAGCAGCAGCTGCTGCTGCTCCTGCCAGCAGTTTGCTTTCTATGGAGGAGCTGCTGCAGCTGGAAGTGGACCCGTGCCAAACTGGCCGCGCGTACTTTCCTGTGGGCGAGGCGCTGCTGCTGCAGCTGTGCAAGACAGTAGGGGCTTTGCTGCACTTGCACAGTAGCAGCAGCAGCAGCAGCAGAACTCCCTGCTGTGCCATTCCCCTAGGTGGCGTTGCTGCTGCTACGAGTGCAGAAGCAGACACGCAACAGCAGTGGCAATCGGAGTTGCTGCTGGCGCAGCAGCACGACGGCCTAGTGCAGCAGCAAATACAGACCTTGCTACAGCAAGCAGCAGCAGCAGCAGCAGCAGCAGCACGCAGCAGCACTGGCAACAGCACTGTCCAGCAGCAAGCTGAACGGTCCAGCTCCAACGGCTGCGTCGCTGCAGCGGTTGTCCCTGCTGCTGCGCTGCAGCATCAGTTGCTGCTGCTGCTGCTGCTGCACCAGGTGCATCACTTCGGCTGCAATTGCTGCTGCTGCAGCACAGAAACCACGGGGTGTATCCGCACTTCTCAATTACTCTACCGCACAGCAGCAGCATACAGGTCAACGCAGCCTCATGCAGGGGGCCTCCAGGACCCCTTGGGGGCCCCCCCGGGGGCCCCTCTGGGGCCCCCTCTGGGGGCCCCTCTGGGGGCCCCTTTTGGGGCCCCCAAGTACCCTTTGTGGAACTTGATGAAGCAACAAACAGTAAGCGCGCGGCTACGCTCAGCAGCAAAAAGCTGCATGCATAGGGCTGAAAGAGAGTGGCTGCCGCGCAGCTACTGGGCTTTTGTTGCTCTGGCAACCCTCAAGTAAACCTGCACCAGGGTCTAGGGTTTAGGGTTTAGGGTTTAGCGTAGGGTTTAGAGCTGCTGCGCCAACAGTCGCAGCCTCAAGCCACTGCCTTGAAAGCTGCTTCACAGTCCGAGAAGTCTTCAGGGTTTAGGCCTAATCTCTCACTTCAGGGTTTAGGACTTAGGGCTTAGGCTTTGCATCTATGCGCGGTTTAGTGGCAAATAAATAAATGTGAACTTGAAAGAAGAGACATGCTAAGCCAGCAGTAGCACCAGTGTCTGATTGGCCCTGCGCAGACATCTAGCCTCTGAGAATCTGAATACCCAGTCAGCTAGCTAGCTCATAATGTGATTATCCAGCTAGCTAGCCAGCTAGCTACGCGAATATCCAGCTAGCTAGCCAGCAACGCAAATAGCCAGCTAGGTAGCTAGCTAGCCAGCTAGCAACACAGATGCCCAGCCAGAGAGCTAGCTCGTTCGATAGCTAGCTAGCGAGCGGCGCGGAAGCCCAACCAGCTAGCTTGCTAGACACTTGCCAGCTAGCTAGCTAGCTAGCTCAACTATCGCCCCATAACTGGCTAGCTTGCCAGCGTAACTGCCATCAAGAGCAAAGCCTTGCTGGGCCCCTAACGAAACCCTAAACCCTAAACCCTAAATAAGCCCTAAACCCTCGCTGAAGGTTAGAGCTACGCTGGAAGCAATAAACTTTGACGAGGCGTTTCTGAGTTTGTCAGCCGTTTCTTTTTGCTGTTTTGGCAGCAGCAAGAGCTGTCCGCAGCAGCAAATGCCCTCACGCCGCGCCCCTGCTGCAGCCGTGGAATACAGAACAAATTCTATATTCCTTACAACTGCCGCCTGCTGCTGCTGCTGCTGCTGCTGCTCTAGCTAACAGCAGCAGCAGCAGTAATAATGGAGGACTTTCCGGGCCCTCCTGGGCCTCCGATGTACAAAAGCGCCGCAGAGGCGCAGCGGTCGAATTTCTACAAAACCAGCAGCAGCAGATGCTGCTGCTGGCGCTGTTGCTGCTGTTGAGTTGCAAATGAGCAACAACAGCAGCAGCAGTAGCAGCTGTTGCTGCTGCTGCTGCTACCTTATCTAAATACTAGACTTCTTTCCCAGCGAAAAGGAAGTAAGGCTGCGGATAGCAGGAGCAGCTGCAGGTGCTGCCACAGCTGTTGCTGCTGCTGCTGCTACGAAAACAACGTGCGGTAGTTACGTCTGCTGCACTTGATATAAATGTCCATTACTTCTGCACACTAACAACTCCTCAAATAAAAGTATTTCTGCTCATTTACTAATAATTTATTTAATTCCAATTTATCTATTTGTTCATTGTTGCGCTGCCGCGCGCCGCAGCTGCGGCCAATCGGTTTTTCACCCTTTCTTGGTATTTGTTTTCCTGATCCTTCAAATAATCCAAATACTGGCCGTTCTGAAGCAAGACAAAAGAAGGAAAAGAACAAGCAAATAAAATAAACAAAATATACATTAAATTGGTACGAACAGAAGCGGTAGACGCCTATGTACAAGTTGTGTGAACTTCACTGGAAGATCCCAGAAGCTACAGAAATAAAAGGACAAAAACGTGGACAAGCCAACTGGGAGAAAAGAGATAAGAGAATATAAATAAAAAAACGCATGCATGCATCAGTAAAGACAGTTATTGGTAAAGATAGACAAGAAGCGACAAGCAATTTCTTTTCAAAATGAATGAACACTCTTGCTTTAGAAGAAGAGAGGCACTGTGAGCAGAAGCAAACAAACAAAACCAGAAAAATTGAAAATAAAATTCAATTTGAAAAGAAAAAAACTCACCAAATTAGTCCTCTCCCCCACTACAATTATATTTCCATATTGCGCCGCGTGCACAGCTCCGCCCAGCACTTCTTCTGTCTCAAGCTGAAAACGGACATTAAATCAGCCAAACAAATTAGTTCGCTTATTTATTAATTCATTTATTCTTATTTAACGGGACAATCGGGGAAAACGCATGAGCGGATCAATATATACTACTTTGTTCATGTTCGCTTTTCAACACTTCTTCGGCGCCAAGCCCAACCGCCGGTCATTCATTATTACCAATTAGGTCTCCCCGTATTGGTTCATTCCTATTTTTAAATTCTTCAATTCTTAATTCTTTTATTTATTAATAATCTTTTTAATTAATTCCACTGATTCAATTGCCGACTTTTTGTCTCACTTGGTCATGCAATGCGTCCAAGGCCTTCGCTCTTTCCTTATGAATTTTTTTGCGCCATTCCGCCCGCCGCATATCAATAGTGTCCTAAAAAAGGGGAATCAAAAATAAAACAAAATATAATTAAGCAAAAGAAGAATAAATAAAAGAATTTCCCAACAAAAGAACGAACAAAAAAAACAAAAAGGCTTGTATTCTTTATTTTTCTCTTCGTTCAGAAAATGCAGCGACAGAAGAGATAGAATAGCCTTGGGAACAATCAGAAACTGGACAAATAGACGAAAAATGAATAGAGAAATGTACAAAAGGCCAAAAAGTAGATGAATAAGGAGGCAGCTTCACCTGAATAACGCATTTGATCCTCTTGGAGTAGCAGCTTTTGCTTTGCAGTTCCCGCAAACGCCCAAACCAACTGTCCAGCACAACCTTCAGCTTAGGGTTTTGATCAATGAAATAACCTGAACAAACAATTCATGAACACAGACAGAAGCAATATGGAAACTGCCCTCAGCTGTGCGGCCAACGCTGCTGCCACAGCAAGCTTTGTACTACCGTGCTAGCTTTGTTACATATACACCTAAATATACATATTTATTGCATCATATTTCGATAAATATGTGTGTACCTGACATGTTTAAGCATATGAAGCTATACATTCTCATCCAGAGACGAAGAGTTAAGAAATATTTATAATTCACATATCTGCAAAGTATTGACCCCATTTGCACAAGTGGCGCGACAGCCTTAGAATTGCCTCATCTCGGCACGCCAGAGGCCAAGCAAGTGTCTCGAAGGAGAGTAAAAAAGATCAGACAACAAAAAGACAATAATAAACTTAAAGGCAAATGGAAAAAAAGTATTTAGCAGACTCCCGACAAAAGACCCGGGAAAGCGGAGAAGATTAGACCGAAAAACAAAAATGGAAATGTTCGAAAAGATTATATGGACTCACCGACAGTCGCGATCAGCTGCAAGAAACACTCGACGAGGTGTTCGTCTGGCTGCTCGCTGCGCATCACCAGTTCCACAACAACATCGTTGACCACTTTGAAGCCCAGCAGCTTCCGGTGAAATAATTCTCCTATTAACTTCACCACGCCCAAAACGCGCCGCTTCAGGCGAGCCTCTTCTTGCTGCTGCTCCTCCGCGCTTCCGCAAACCCGCGGCTGCAACACACTGCAGCAGCACCAGCAGCAGCAGCAGCGGAGTAAGCATGAGCATTCTTAGATGTAAATGTACTGTTTGCGCGTATGCTCATAGCATTGCAGCTTCTGCAGGCGGACTGCAAATGAAGTGAACAAGTGTTATGAAACAAAGTTGAAATAAAACAGAAACTCACGATGGCATCGCCTCGAACTCCTCCTGAATTCTCGTCAAAAGGCTCAACATGAACGCAGTCTTCCTGATCGTCTCGGGGTCACCGTAGGGCGCCACGCTGCGCCACTGCAGCAGCTGCACAGACCACAACAGCAGCAGCAGCAGCAGCAGAAATTTACTGACATCCAGCAGCAGCAGCAGCCCACGATGCAAGCACGCTGCAACAACGCCAGCAGCAGGAAGGGCGGACGCGTCCCACACCCACCAGCAGCAGCAGCCGACCCCAAATCCCCACTAGCAGGAAATCCACAGCCAGCAGCAGCAGCAGCAGCAGCAGCTGCTGCAGGCCAACGCACCTGGCAGAGGTCTGCATACATTTCTGACCAGTCGGGCTCGGTGACGGCTTTGTCGATCATGGCGTCCACAATGAGCCTCACTTCTTCGTTGTTTTCCAAAGAGCCCTCGAGAATGTTTGCAATCTTTTCCGAAATAACACTAAACTTTTCAATTGTCAGTTTGTTCAACAAAGACTTCACACTGCGACGAAGCTCCTCCTCCCGAGTCAGAGCCCGCCGAGGCTTCCAAACGAGGGCTGGGGGCCCCTCAGGGGCCCCCGCAGGAGAGCTTCCAGAAGCTGTCCCAGGCGAGTTCCCCGGGGCCCCCCCGGGGGTCCCCCGAGGGGTCGTGGGGGCCCCCGCAGGGGCCCCCACGCCCTCCCTTCGGGGCCCGGCGGGGTCCTCGGGGCCCCCCGGAGTGTCCTGGCTGGCTTTGCTGCTGCTGTTGTCCCGTCGCAGCGCAGCAAAGCCGTTGCATGCGTCTCCGGGGCTGCTGGGCTGCCGACTGGTGGGTTCTGCATGCACAGGGCTCGTGGGGCCCTTTGCTGAGACGCGACCGCGGTACTGCTGCCCTGCCGCTGCTGCTGCTGCTGGTGCTGCTGCTTCCGCTGCTTGGGGCTGCCGTCGGATGCCTGAGAAGCTGCCTCGAGCCGCCGGGCACGCTGCAGGGGCAGCGCTGTGGCCTTTGCGTTGCTGCTGCATCGCTGCTGCTGCAGTGCCTCCGCCAGCAGCAGCAGCAGAAGCAGCAGAAGCTACCGGGTAAGAAACGCTCTGGCTAGAAGACCAGCCCGTGGGCTTCTGCGCAGATCCAGAACGCAACGCTCCGAAGCCTCTGTCCACATCAGCACTGGAGGCGTGAGCTGCAGGAGCGAACCTGCGGAAGCCGTTGCTGCTGCTGCTGATGTTCGCGCCGCTGTTGCTGCTGCTGCTGCTGTTTATATTCATATCCCCCGCACGAGCCATGCCCATTGGATACTGCGGCTGAGACCCATAGGCTTCCCTGCGTCGGCCTGCTGCTCGCAGGTCGCCGTCTAGGGATTCTCGCTTCCACGCAAGCCCATCTCTGCATGCAACAAAATTTAAGTAATAAATTTTGAAAATTCAGAGAAAGTGAGAGCTGTTTCGCCGCAGCTTTCCCTTGCTAGCACCGGGTCGCAGCCGCGTGCAGCCAACTTGAACTCGAAACTCGGAAATAGCCACTATGCGAAAGAATACAACAAGGAAACTCACAGGCGATGACCCTCACGGTCGTTCATCGTCAATCCTCGCGGGGCTGGCTCCAACAGTGGCGCTCTTTGCATGCACTTTGATCTGCAGCAGTACCACAAGCAAAAGCAGCAAAGACAGAATGGGGTGCGGCCGCTTGAGGGCAGCAGCAAAAGAATCCCGCTTTCGGCAGCTCCGCCTTGAGAATGCAAATCGGAGAAATCCGGAACACAGGGAACAAAGCCATTGTGAACGAAAGAAACCAATCCCCGCAGGAAGAGCCGCGGCAGCAGCCAGGGAAGGCAGCCGGGGCGCATGCATGCATCAAATGCACCTTCCAGAGAGTTCAAAACAAGCCTCTAGCACAGAGAGCCCAGGCACAACATAGAAACCTCCACAGCGCCGACAGAAGGCAATCTCCCCGGAGCGGCCCACAGGCATTCCTGCCCAGCCGCCTCGCCGCCCCCCATGCCCTTTAAGTGGCCTCAAGGCCTGCTCGTGGATCAGAACATAATAAAGAAGCTTCAGAACAGCTAGCTGAGCTCTCAGGTGGGGTATCGTGAGTGATATTGCCCTCGTTCAAGTTCGGGAATGATCAATAAGGGCAGGAAGGAAGGTCGGGGGGGCGCCTGGACGGGTCTCAAAAGCGCCAAGAATGTGAGACACGGAATAAAAAGAAGCTGTAGAGAGCCAGAGGCGACACAAGATGCACTTATCAGCTGAAGACACGGCTTACGGCGCAACGAGCTGAAGGGCTGAACAAACCGTTTCCGGCTCTATCTACCCTGCGTGCAGTCTGGGTCCAGTCAGCTTATGAACTGTTTCAGAGACTAAATCAAAATATAATTCAAGTGAAACACCAAAGGGAAGAGCCCTTAACTGGCGTAACAGCGCACCATCGCGCTTTGCCGCCTTCAAACCCACACCGTGACGCGGTAGGCGGAGGGAAGCTCACCGAGTTGAATCCTAATGCAAACAAGGTTTTAGCAGTGAAGAGCTTGATATAAAAAGGCCGAAGATTTCCTCTTTTATGCCCCAAAATCCTAAATTGTCCCTTGAACGGCACCCTGCGCTACCAGCAGGTGTGACAAGCAGCCATGACCACACAACAGCCCGCAGCAGCCACATACCAGCTGGGTAGCCAGCTCTGAAAATATAATGTCTGAAGGCCTCTCATCTACCCTTTTCTTTGTCTCTGTATCCCGCCTTTAACTAGTTTGAGGGCAACTTTACATTTGCCTTCAACGGCTGCTGGCCGTCGCATATCGCCCGCCTTTACGTCGTGCCTCTGTGTAGGCAGTGCATCCTTATTTCAGTGGATTACACACACCGTTATTTCAGTGGATAGCACTATTCTATCCGGCCTTCCGATACAATTTAAAGCAAATATGGCTCTAATGGGGCCCCTCTGCCTTGGTGCTGAGCTGTTATACTGCGCTTTCAGCGTTAGGCTGCAACGCCAAAGTTTGAAGTGTTGTCCATTTGCTGTCACCACCCGTCCAATGCACCAGCTCCTCCTAAGCCACGTCAAGCCCTCCTAATAGTTCTTCTCTGTGTGGCCCCATGCCCTCGTATTATTTTTTCATTTTTTATTCCACTCATTCACAACAGTGCAGCCACGGAGCAGTTCCTTGTGGGGAACGAACATCGGTCCAGCTGGGCATTGCTTCGCTCTCCATAGCACACCATAAGATCGCCCTTGACACAATCACAACAGCTCAAACGGTTTCGCGGCGGTGGTTGAGTGCTTGGGTACACGATTTACGAGCAAGAGCCCTGGGTGCACGGTATAGTCTTGACTGAGCTCTTGGCTTTTTGCCCCAGCTAGCTGTGCAATAGCATGCGTATCAAGCAGCAACAATGCTGAATGAGCCTTGGACTTGTTGATCATGCCCGCAACACATCTAACATTGCGTCGACTTCCACCAGACAGTCTTCCCTAGGCCTTTTGCCCCCCACGACGTCGGCAAATGCAAAGCCTGAAGTAGTATCCAGTTGTTCCCAAATCCTCGAAAAAATGTTTCATGGCTAGAAGTTGCACATTCACAGTTTGCACCCCGTTTCATGAACAAAATGACGGCCGGAACTCCGCGGTGTGACATTCCATTTGCATGTGTGCTTTACGGGATCCGTTCAACACGGCAAAGGTGGAACTTCGACAAATTGAAACAGAGTCCGGCAAAAAGCCGACAGCTGCAACGGTTAGTGCCAAAATACCTTAACTAGGAGACAACATTAAGGGAAATAGAAAAGTGGGCACGCCAGTTTAGTGGGGGCTTCGCCATGCCCGCGCAGAACATCTGCGAAGAGCGTTCAGTCAGATATAACTTAGGCCATTACTTTGCACTGGTTTTGCTCTATGTGATATGGACAAGTCTTTACTACGGTCATGATTCTCTTTCAACGGAAAAGGCCTCCATAGTTCCCAACTAGGTGAGTATTTGATTGCAGAGAGCAAAATCCCGTGCACGAATCAGCGGAAAACATTGTGCAGCAACAACAACTTTCAATACAATTCGGCTTTAGCTCCCAACACTTTGTGTCGCTCTTGCTCCAATATGAGAGCAGGCTGGCCCCGCCTTTCTATGATCCAGAAGCAAAACTTGGATTTCTGAGACGAGTGTACTGCATACCAAAGAGCTTTTGGCCACATTGCACTTGTGCACATTGCACTTGTGCAGCCACTACAGGTACCACAGGCCGTTTCACATCCACGAAACTCCTTAAAGTCATTTGGCCGCATGGGCCATCATGCTGCGTTTCGGCAGTACAAATTTCCCTGCACTAGATTACATTACAATTAACTTGTGGCAGTAGCAAGATTTCGTGAAATGTCATGAAGAGGTAGTGGCAGACAAAATAATAAGGTGAAAGCAGCTTCCCCGTAAAATTAGAATGAACGCAACCTTTCCAATGTTGGTGTTTCCTCATGAATGCGTATTTCTTGCTGTTTGCTGCTGCAAAAAACTAGGGCTCTGGACAGCCGTGAAGGGGTCCCGTAACACGTATAAGCCTCATCATATTTACGCCGTTGGGGCGTTGGGGTGTTGCAAAAAAACAATAGGGCTTGTGAAGTGCAACGATAATTTTTTCACGTTCATTCTGTTGAGCTGAGGTGCCATTGCCCTCATTCTTCCTTCCCTTTATTATTCGTTTTCAGTGAATATTAATGTTAGCTACTAACTGTAGATAATAGAGTTTTATTGGCCATAACAGCAGCAATATCTGGGGTGTGGTCACACATATGCTGTTAAGTGCTCTTGTTTCTTGTGTTCCACAAAAGTCATAAATGATCTTTTCCTGCTCTCTAATGCAGAGATGGAACAGGAAGAAATAAGTATATATAATGTCCACCACGCTGCAGTGAAAGGGACGAATAAGCAAGTGCGTCGTAAATGAATCACACTGTTGCACCATTTATCTCCGTGCAGCAGAGAAAATTGCACACGACATAGGGAACGAAGCCAAGCAGGCAGCTTCAGGCTTGTTTGCCTCCTTATTTCAGGTAGCAAGCCGGTCATGCTTCTCATCTGTACTTGGGGGCTCCGGGCTTGTGCGTTGGTGAATGCTCATCTTCGTCTGATTTTTTTTTTTCGAGGCATAAGTATGGATACTTGCCTACTCATTTTAGGCCTCACCAGGCAATCCTGCCCAACAACGCCCACTAAGTGTTTATGCATCAATCAGTTGCTGGTGACTTCACCTGTCTTCCCCGTAGTTCTCTAGCTCCAGCCACACAGTAGCTGCGCAGCAATTCACTCAGCACAGCCTAGATTACACTCGGCACCCAAGTAAGGTTGCTTTGGGAATAAACGAAATGACTAGTTTTGTTGAATTCGCACCATGGAATGTGGCCGCTGTTAAGCAGACACCCTCTGTGGGAGCTGAATTCTAGATGTATAGGTCTGTACAGCATGCCTTGGCCCGCTCGCTTTCCTTCAAGGGATGCTATGAAAATGTGGAGGAGTCAGGAAATGAGGGGAATTAGGCCAAATGCTAATATTTGCAGCGCATTACATCTATGAGTGGGCTTCGGTCGCGTCTCTCCGCAGAGACCTGGTTAAAACTCTGAGCCTTGCATAGTCCCCAGAACAGTTGGTGAAGTACAGCAGTAACCTTACTTAGTACTGTACTTTAACCATCAAGGCGAGAGCTAAAGTCAGGATCTCGAGTGTGTGTCTCTCGCGTTCTGGATACAAACGTTTATGACTATCACTGCTGTCTAAGTATACCACCTAAACATTTAAAGGCCCGAAACAACGTAATTGTAGGTCTAAGTCTCAAGAAATGCATTTGTTTCTTTTTGGTTATTCTTCTTTGCTGCATGGCGCGTGCAGCATCGGTGCCTCTTGCCAGCCCCAGACACTGGGCGCAGCTGTAGAGCCCGATGTAACAAATATTATGTTTGTCTGTATGATAATTACTGCTAGTTACTAAGTCATTCTACATATTTTGAATTGTACAACTGTGAAGGCCATTTTCGGGCTATACTACGGTGTTCTTTCTTACATATCAATCAGGCGTTTGATGCCTTCCAAGGCATTCAATCTTTCTGTTTTCGACAAGAGCAAGGCAGTCGCGGCAGATAAAAGAGCAGCGGCCTTGAAAATGCTTTGTGTACACCGTAACCAGCTGGTTTTCTAACTTGAGAAGCATATTCTTAGGAATTGCTTAACCAGCTTCTCACATGGCTAAAGCAAAACTACCTTGTCATGAATTGTCTTCGCCGACAGGGGTGAAAGTTCAGCGGCCCATTTCGTGGCATTATTTTCATGTTAGGCTGAGGCTGCTGCACAGCTGTAGCCAAATAAACGCTATCCCCATGAGCTAATAGGCAGCTGGGTTCTTTCGTACTTTTTCAGACCGATGGGGTTGGCTCCAGCAGTACAGTGCCATGTTGGTGTTTTTTTCCCACAGCATGTATAATGGCTCGAGAAGTTTAGAGGCTTCGTTCGTGCAGAGCCATTTCAGCTCTTCGAACCAAAAAGTGATCTCAAGCACACTACTAAGCCATTCATTAGATTGCACAGCAAAATCGCATTCCCTTGGTCCCATCCTGTAACAGCTTGCGAAGCGCGGGCATTGATACCTTATTTGCGTCTGGAGCCGTTTACACAGTCCTAACAAAAATGCAGTGAAACTTAAACAGTACTCTTGGCTCTGGATGTGTCTTAAGTCCAAATAGCACGATTTCCCATTGTCGTACGCGCAATTTATAGCCGCCTTCATTGTCTTTCAAACCACGCAGCGATCTCCTCCTTTCTCCTGCGTTTTTACGCCTCCAACTAGCTGATTTCAAGCTACAGGCTTGTGCTGATAAGGTTAGCGAGTCTTCGATGAGTAAATGCTTTGCTTGAGTAGCACTCTACTCGCTGCAAAACATAGCATCCTGCCGTATCGATGGCCTCTCCATCGGGGCGTTCATTCTCCAGACAGATCATTGCGTGCCTGCTGGGAACAGCGCCAGCAGTCTAAGCAAAAAGAGGTAAATATGTGAGCATTCATGGTGCACAAAGCATGCAGCTGCTTCTAGGAATGAAGAATGACAAATGTCGTAGGCAGACCAGGCAAACTTTGCCACAAGATGACTGATGGTACAGGAGGTCGACGCCGTTTAGCCTAGTGGTGTTACTTCGCGGCGGTATTCAAATGAAATGTGGAGGCCCATGAAGTTAACTGACCGGATGACTCGACAAGTGAGCAGCGGTGTGAATACCTTTTTGGTCTCTATGGACCACTTCACGCATTTCGCAGAACCTCTCGTCAACAAAAGGCAAACGTTCACAGAATATTTGCTTCTAAATTATTTATGTATATTTGTATTAGTGAAGTACCAGAGCAACAGCCCAGTCAATGAGTCGCATTGCATTGCAGCTGTGCGCGCGAGCTCTTTTGAAGTGCAAGTGAGCCTAAGGCCTAAAGTGTTCATCTACAGGGGAACTCTGGGGTGGAAAGGTTTTCAAAAAGCTGAGAAAAGACAATTGGAGATCTTAGAGAAAAGATCAGACTCCTGGTAAACACCCAGTGTGTGCTTCCATAACTTTTAAAGGAGGTAATGAGTTTTTCTGCCAAGCAAATAGTTGGAGGTCCTACGGGGCAATAAATACCATTATCTCTAGCCAAAAAGGAAGAAAACAAATAATTGAAATATATAATGGGGCTGCTGAGGCCTGAGCCAATGGATTTCTTATTGGGGATTGCGAAAGGTGCTGTGAGGACTCCCCGATATACTGCCACAACATCAGTCAGGTAAACCCAGTTTCTCCTGAATGCTAGCATTGTTCATTTCACTTCTTTATTGTTCTTTATGAGCCTTTAATGCATAAGGAAATGTTTGCACTTGAGTTGAAAAACAGGCGCTAGGCTCTGAATCGCCGCTGAGAACCTTCCTAAAGGGCCCCCACGGATCCTGATGAAGTTGTTGCTGTGGCTCATGGAAATCTGCTCTGTGCCGGCTATTCTACAGCATTGTTTTGTTCATGCAATTCACTTATTCTGTGGGCTTATAGAAGTCTTCCCCGTGGCAAAGTGCTAGCTCTCCTTGCGCGCACCACAGATGTACGGAGCGATTGGTAGGGGGCCAGCCCCTCACAGACTTTGTCACAAAGCCTCTTTTGTAAACTCTAGTGCACAACAGACGCTCTCGAGTCAACTGCGTTGATTTTAGCAGCTAAATGCATTTCTATGCTGAAGCCAAAATAGGCGATCGAGGAGGCCCTTGAAGCCCTACGGGACTGTGGGCCATTCGGAGTTACGTAAGATTGAGTAGGCCCTAACATGCGCAAGAATTACTCGAATATTCATGTGACTGCTCAACGCAGCACACCTAACCGGCCTATAACTGGGAGTATACCACGGGTCAATTTATTACGAATTACCACATGCTGGCGGTGGGGGCGCCCAGGGTGGCGCCAGAAACGCTTAACTCCTTATTCATATGCACAAAATTAATTAAATTGGCTGTATGCATAGAAAAAGAAATTATAGACGAATGAGACGTCCTCACAGCCTATAACAGCAGCAGCCGCAGCAGCAGCAGCCGACGCAGTGGCGGCGTAGCTGCAGCGCGGCCGCTGTCGTTCTATGAGCTAAACAGAGCGCAGAAAGTAAGAATAATATCAGTTAAGGTGTTATGTGTAGGTTTGATGATTAGGACCCAAATTTAGCCAATTATTTGTTTCTTAAATCCTCGGGAGTCCTTGCCGGGGCTCCTCCTGTCTGCTGCCTGTTGGGCTCGGTCGCGAGCAGTTTTCAGGTGTGCGCGCAGCCCAAGTATTCGTTTAACAGACGAATAAAGTGAACCCCTTTATTTCTTTTCCTTTTTTGGGCTTGTAGCTGCACACAGCGCCGGAAACTGAGCATGGCGCCGCACGCAGCCTCTCGTTTTCTCTCTCTTTTGACCCCAGCTCCCCTGAGCAGGGTCTGCCTCAACAGGGGCCCCCTAGCCTCTTTCAGGGCCCCGTCTCTGGCTTCTGTGCCCTTGCACGCAACATGGGGCCCCAACAGCTCTCAGAAACGTGGCTTCGCCCACGGCCCCGGCACTGACCTCACAGTTGCCTGCCGCACGTCCACTTCCCCCAGGCCCGACCACGGCCCCACCACCAGCATGAATCTCTTCACGGCCATCAACTCCGCCATGCACATTGCTCTGGAGACAGATCCCACGTAAGTGCTCCAGCAGCAGCAGACGCAGCAGCAGCAGACGCAGCAGCAGCAGCAGCAGCAGCAGCCGCCAAGCATGCAGCGCCAGCAGCCGCAGCTGCAGAGGCGGCGACAAACGAAGGCTTCGCTGCGTGTGCCGCGGCTGCCGCTGGTGTTGCAGCAGCGAGTGCTGCTGCTGGTGCTTCTGCTGCTGCTGTTCGTACTGCGCCATTCTAATCATGTATAGAAGTCCAACGACTTCTTAAAAGGTCAATGTGGGCAATTTTCATTTGTTAAGGTGTACGTACACTCGGGGGTTTTGTTTGTTTGATTCGCCTTCTGCGGAAACTGGGGGAGATAAAGGCGGCTTTAAATTGATCGGCTCGCACTTGTTCTTGAACTTGCATGCATTTGTAAGGGTCATTTACTAACAAGCATAACAAGCATATTTTACTGGGTTTGAGGATATATTAGTGGATTTAATTACATGCATGCACGCCAGATCTATGCGGCGCCCGTGACGAAGAAAAAATACTTTTTTCTCGCCTTTTCTCGTGTCTTTGCTGACCAAATTTTTGCTGGCCAAGTGGTTGCCCTGTGCAAGGTCTGTTAGTCACATTTCATTTCATCATATTTGAATTCTAGTATTTTTTGTATCTTCTACTTTTTCATCCTTTTGAGGCGGCAGCGGATGCCGCGTTTGCAGCCTAGTGACTGCATTCCTGAAACCGTTACGCTCTCGTCTATTACTTGACCACAAATAAAGCCTCTTTCATTCACCCATTTGCATTTGTTTGTTTATTTGTTGGAATATATTTATGTTTGTTTGGTTTTATTTGTTTATTTGCACTATCATTTGTTCAGGGCATGCGTTTTCGGGGAAGATGTTGCTTTTGGGGGAGTCTTCCGCTGCTCGGTGGACCTGCGAGACAAATTTGGGCACCACAGGGTTTTCAATACCCCGCTTTCAGAGCAGGTAAGAAGAATCAATTCGTTTATTAATAAGTAAAAATTAAATATCTATATAATTAATTAGTTTGTCGATCGAGCTGCTGAGCACTTAGTTACGTTTTTGACTTGTAGGCCAGTTATTCCGTGAATTGCTGAAGTGAGGTTCTGCACATCCGCGCGCTTTTCACAAACATTCGTCCAGCGGATTTTGTACTTCTTTGCGCTGCCGAGAAATTATAATTGAATAAATAAACGCAAAAATTGATAAAGCACAAATAGACTGGGAACAAAGCGGATGGCTGTAATTAGTTGGGCAAATATGAATTGGGGAGTTAAACTCAATGATCCGCAGTTTCGCACTTGAGTTCAGTTGGGTAAAGTGTTACACTAAATTAACTCGCTAAATCTCGACTAACAAGTGGAAAGAGGGTCGAACTGCTTGGCCAGAGGAATATTTCATCTTCTCATTTGCCTCCTACACTCATTTCTCCATTACTTTATTATTTATTTATTTGCTGTTTAATTCCTTTTCCTTATGCAGGGCATCGCGGGTATGGCTGTGGGCATGGCTGCCGTGGGCTACACCGCAATCGCTGAAATTCAGTTTGGGGATTACATCTTCCCCGCGTTTGACCAAGTAAGAGCGAATTACTGGCGAAAATGTGCTTAAAATGGACCGATAAGACGTATGCAAATTATATTTATCAATTAAATGGTTCATTTCTTTGTTTTTGTCTCGTGTTGCTGCTGCACCACCTGGTTGTTGTCAGCTCGTTTATGTGTTGATGGGGCTGCGAACGACAAGCTAGAGTTCTTCTCTTATGCCACTCTCACAACCAAAGAGTAAATTGATCTTCTGGATTCTTCTAAATCTGTTTATTCAATCTGATAGATTAGTATAGTGTTTGCCACTCCCTACCGCGGCATTTGTGGATGAACCTCCGACCAGCGCAGTGCATTGTCTTTTTTTTTGTCGGATTTGTACGCAAAAGAGGCAATAAAAAGCATAAAAAATAGATTGCTGCACTTTCGTTGGCGATTTTGCATGAAGATTGGCTTGTCGGCTGCTGTTTGGCCCTTGATCCCGCTGAGCAGCGCCTGGGCTGCTTTCCACTAGTCGGTTAAGCAGCTGCTCCCCAGCCTAGAGGTTTATGCACCAGTGGACGAGTGGTCCACTGGTCCAGGGGGCCTCCCAGAGCCACAAGGCAGCAGCGGTTTGCTTAATGTTGTGCTACAGATCGTGAACGAAGCCGCCAAGTTCCGCTACCGCAGCGGTAACAACTGGAACTGCGGGAAAGTCACTTTCAGGTCTTCCTGGGGCGCTGTGGGCCACGGAGGGCTCTACCACTCCCAGTCTCCGGAAGCATTCTTTGCGCATGCAGCAGGACTCAAAGTAAATCCTACATCCTAAGTCCAAGTTCCTAAGCCCTGCAGCTAAACCCTATGCCAGGCGAGGCTGTGAACTTCCTGGGAGCGGCATCGCCTTCCAGCCGCAAACCCTAAACCCTAAACCCTATCTCTCAGTGCGAGTTTGGAGGCTTTTGACAGCTGAGTTGCAAGAAAGGGCAGCTGCTGCTGGCGTTTCTTGTTGCTGTTCAGATTGTGATCCCGAGGGGCCCTTACCAGGCCAAGGGGCTGCTGCTGAGCTGCATCCGAGACGAAAACCCCTGCCTTTTCTTCGAGCCCAAGGCGCTCTACAGAGTTGCCACTGACGAAGTCCCCACCGGGGATTATATGCTGGATTTGAGCAAGGCGGACGTGCTCAAGGAGGGAGAACATGTGGGATTTCGCGCCACTAGCAGCCCGTTTTTTCGCCTTTTGTTTCGTCTTTTCTTCCTATTTTATCTTTATTTTCAACTCTTTTCCTCTAAGCCTTGTGTTACACTTCTGGTTTTTTTCTTTCCCGGCTTCGTGAAGTTCGGTTTCTAAGAGTTCCTTCTCACCGGTGCCGTTTCGGCGCAAAGTGCTTGTGCTTGAGCTCATTAAGGCCGATGCATATGGATGAGCCTTTTGTGTCTTATTCTCACCTGGATGCAAAAGTTTATTTTTGTCAGCTTTCATATTTGTACCTGTGTTTATAATTCTATAGCTTCATGGCTTTACCGAAATGCGTACATGCATATCTGTACCTCGACTTGTGGCAACAACTGCATGGACATCCATATCTGTATACATGTGCATAGCTGTATCTTTGTTTATTTAGTTGTACTGGTATTTATATGTGAATATGTATCTTTGTTTATATTTGTACATCCGTCTGGATGCCCATTTCTGCGTCTGTCGCTATGTGTAGCCACATTTGCATTTGTATGTTGTCCAATATATATTATTCTTGCCTGTATCGGTTTCAGTCTATATCTACATATGTAAACCTGCGCATGTATGTCTGGATCTATACTTGTACATTTGTACTGGTAGTCATCCATCTCTGTTCGTAGATATCTCTATCTACTTGTTCATATCTCCATATCAACATCTACATGTGCATGTCTGTTCCTGCATATTCATATATCCATATCTATATCTCTGTGTTTCTTATATTCATCCCTATCAACACATTTCCCACCCCATTTCCATGTCCAGTCCCACTCCTAACCCCATTTCCAATTCCGGCTTCATTTCCATTTCGAATTCCATTTCGAATTCCAGTTTGAAGCCGAACTTCAGTTTGAATTCGACTTGAAGTGCCGCTGGCGGTGGGTGTGGGTGGCAGGTGACTGCGGTGGCGTGGGGCACTCAAGTGCACCGGGTGCTGCGCGCGGCGGAGTTGGTGGCCGCAGAAGGCGTGAGCGTGGAGGTAATAGATCTGCAGACAATAGCGCCTTGGGACGTGGACACTGTGGCTGCTTCGGTGCGCAAGACGGGGCGCCTGCTGGTGTCTCACGAGGCGCAGCAAACCATGGGCTTTGCTGCTGAAGTCGCAGCAGCAATCCAGGAAAAGTGCTTCTTCAGCCTCGAGGCCCCCATCAAAAGAGTCACTGGATACGACACGCCCTTCCCCCTCGCTTACGAGCCCGTGGGTCCTGCTGCTGCTGCCGGCGCTGCGTGCCGCTGCTGCTCCTGCAGCAGCATGCCGTTGCTGCTGCTGCTGCATGCCCCTGCTGCTGCTGCTGCAACAGCATGCAGTTAATCAAAGCTGGCGAATAAAGGAGATATAGTGCTTATGCAGAGCCGGCCACTTGCGCGGGAAATGCAGGTTTTTTTGACGCATGTTTCGTCTAGTGTACATACACTTGGCGCAGTGTTCATTTCATTTGCTTTTATTGCCGAAGTGAAAGAGAGCTGCTACTTGTGGGCCGGCCGTGCAGCGGCAGGCGCAGCCGATGAGCCTGATTCTAGCTGCTGCTGCTGCTGCTGCTGCTGCTGCTATTCCTTTTGTTTGCAGTTCTACCTGCCCAACGAGTGGAAGCTGGCTGACGCGATGAGGGAGTTGAAGGCCCACTAAGTTTTCGAAAAGTTGAAAATGCGAAATCCAAATAGTGAATAACAAGAGCTACAAATGCATGCAAAGGGCCGGGGTGCTGCTGCTGTAGGGGGCGCGGTGTGCATGCCTTTAGCCACTGCAGTCAGAGACTGAGCTGCTGCTGTAGCACGCGAGGCTGGTGCAGCAGCAGCACGACTTGCTGCTGCTGCTGCTGCTGCAGTCTTGCAGGCAGAGGGCTACGCGGAAACTAGCGGCAGGCTCGGGTCTGGTTAGGGGAGGGCTAAAGTGGTGTTTGTTTTGGTTGCGGTCATTTCGCTGTTGTTATTCATAAATGAATTGTTGGCGCCGCAGCAGCGGCTCCAGCTGCGTCTGCCGGGACGGGGTGTACGTACACTGGAGTGTACGTACACTTGAACAATTAGTGACCCTTCTAACTCAACAGTTCATTTAGATAAACCAAACAAAGGCCAGCGACGCGGCAACCCTACGATGGTAGACCAGTGGTCATTCTAGCTAAGTGCGCTTGCTAGTTACTCAGCAACAACTTGCAGCAGCCATTTGCTTCTTCTAAGGTACAATTAACGCACAGCGCAGCTGCTGTTGCTGCTGCTGCTGCTGCTGCAGCGTACACAGACCAGCGCATGCACTGTCGCAGCTTCTTAGGGGCTATTTGCAGCGCTTCACTTGGAGCCAGCAAAAAGTTTGGTATCTTCTGCTGCTGGCCCTCGTCTGGCTGTTTGGCTCATTCCTGGGGCCGAAACTGGGGCCTTGGCACCAGACTCTGCAATAGTTTGAAGGCGGAACACTTTTGCCAAGTTCGATAAAGCCGGAATTGAATAAAACATGGGGCAGCTGCCTCCTTACCGGTGTTCAGACCACTCACACACTGGGCCAGAAGGTGAGTGTGGGGAAGCGCAGGGGCCCCTGGCAGCCCAGTGTGTGCAAAAATTAGGGGTGACACGAAAGGTAAAACGAAGTTGAATTCCATTAGAGTAAAAGTGGAAGCTTGAGAGGAAGTAAGAGGATCGCAGAGCTGAGGTTGGGGTGTACATGCAGTTTTGCTGGTGTCAACATCACGCAGCCTCACGTCAAGCCACTGGTGAGCTCACCGGTTGTTGGGTCAAAAGTTATCAGTTGGTCTTTTATTGTTACTTTTTGGATTTGGTTTTTTATGCGATTCGTCGCAAAAAACACTTAAGACGAGACTGCAGCTGCTCTTCTGTCGGCTCCGGGGCCGTCGTTGCTGCATGTCCATTCGCGGGTTTCGGCGCCGAATAAAGCCGTAGCTGCGCATTTCTTTGCCTTTGGAAATCTTAATTGACGCTATCTTTCTCCATTTCTGCGGGTTTTCCCCCTGCCTGGCTGCGTAGGACTCCTAGCGGAGCCAGCTTCTCATCGACCAGTTGAACTGGCAAGGAACCATCCTTTGTCTTCAGATCGGATCTGCAGCTGCAACTCGCAGCAGTTGAAACGAAATTGGCGAGCTCTTTGTGTCAGTGGTAGCAGCAGGGGCTCAGCAGCAGCCTGGAAGCGGGATCTTTCGCGCCCCTGCAACTGCTCCTGCAGCAGCAACACCTGCTGCTGCTGCGGCTCCTGCCCTCTGCTCTTGCCCGCGCCTCGGGAGGCGTCTGTTGGCCAGGCCCTGCGCCTTGCATGCAGCAAAGTCCCCAGCTGTGTGCCCCGTAGGCGGCGGGCCGCGTGAGTTTGCCGGGGCTTCTTCGCTGCCGCAGCTGCTGCAGTTGCTGCCGCTGCTGCCTGACCAGTGGTCCCTGTAGCTGGCCCCGCCCGCCCACCGGCAAGCGCGTGGACTGCCGCCGCGGGCGCAGGCGCAGGTGCGGGAGCAGCAGCAGCAGGAGCAGCAGCAGCAGCAGCGGAGCAGCCGGGCGAAGGAGGAGGGGCCCCCGGGGGCCCCCTAGCTGTTTGCTTCTCCCGTGCGGCGCCCGCAGCGCCATGCAGCAGAGCCCCGGGGCGTCGCCGGGGAAGCCGTCTCGGGAGGGTCTTCCTGTTGCTGCAGAAGTTGCTGCTTCGGTGTCGGACCGCGTCGCTGCTGCTGCGACGGCCGCTGCTGCTGCTGCAGCAGTGGCTGCTGCAGCGCGCGCAGAAGCCACAGCAGCCGTCGCCCGCCGCTACCTCCAGCCCTGGGTCCTCGTCGAAGAGTACAGCAAATGGAGACACGAAGACCAGCAAGAGTTGAGGGTTTGGGAGCCCCGGGGGTCTCGGATATTCCGTGAACATTTGCTGCCTTACGTGCCAGCAGATGTGTCTCCTGCGGTGGCGGCGGCGCAGGCCGCAGCAGCGGCGGAGGCGGGCGCGCCCAGCAGCAGCAGCAGCAGCAGCACGCCGGGCAGCAGCAACCGCTTCGCCGCGTTCTTCGGGGGCAGCGCTGCTTCTGCTGCTGCGCTCGCCCAGCACCCCTGGGCTGCTGCTCAAGTCAAAGAGCTGCTGCGGGAGGAGATCTGGGGCGGAGTGCCCGACGCGTACAAGAGCTGCGTGTGGCTGCACTCCAACGGCTCGCTGCAGCAGCAGCTGCTGCAGCCCGGGCTCTACAGGCAGCTGCAGCAGCAGGCCTTCGGGGGGCCCCCCTTCCCCGGCACGGACCCTGGCCGCTGCCCCACCTTCAGTGGAGGCCTTTTGGGTTTGGAGGAGGACGTTTGCGGTGTACAGACAACTCTGAACCAACTGGAGCTCGACGGAGACGCCCCCCTCGCCACTTGGCGCTCCGCCCCCGAAGAGGGGCCCCCCGAGGGGCCCCCGGGGGGCCCCCAGGGGCCCCGGGGCCCCCGGGGGCCCCACAACTGGACCCACAAAATCCGACTCCCCCACCCCTACTTGCCCGGGGTCTCCCCCGGCAGCAGAAAGCTGGGGGCCCTCAGCAGCAGCAGCAGCC